TACCCCAGATAAACAATACCCCAGGAGAAACCATACCCCAGATAAACAATACCCCAGGAGAAACAGTACCCCAGATAAACAATACCCCAGGATAAACAACACCCCCAGGACAAACACCCCAGATAAACAATACCCCAAGAGAAACACCCCAGATAAACAATACCCCAGGAGAAACAACAGCCCCAGGATAAACAACACCCTCAGGAGAAACACCCTGGAATAAAAACCAGCCCAGGAAAAAAAACAGCCCCAGGATAAACAACACCATGAGAGAAACAGCCCGGATTAAACAACAGCCCCAGGATAAACAACAGCCCCAGGAGAAACACCCTGGAATAAACAACAGCCCAGCATAAACAACACCCCCAGGACAAACAGCCTGGGATAAAGAATACCTCCAGGAGAAACAACAGCCTGGGATAAACAGCCCAGATTAAACAACAGCCCAGAATAAACAACAGCCTGGGATCACCAACACCCCCAGGACAAGCAGCCTGGGATCCCCAGCCTGTGACACACCAGGCTCACTCCTTAGCATTGGGACAAGTTGAGTAAGGGGCAGCAGGGACAGTTCCAGCTCTGGGCTGCCTGGCAACTGCCAGAAGCACACACTGACTGCAACAACCTCAGGAACCTGCTCAGGGCATGGCTCAAATCCATTTTCATGGTGAATGTACATATTCAACCTTCCCTGGAGTTCACATGCTCCAGGAATTCTTTATCTTAGTTTGACCCATGATTTCATCTTCTCAGAGCACAATGCACATGGGATTTGGAGAGTTTTGTATTTTATTTCCTCACAAGGCCCCTGGTCTGTGGTCTGACAGTTACTGCTAGCCCAAGGAGAGGTAGTAGACTTTTCTTTGCTCTTTTGGTGCTATTTGCCTGGTTTTTCCAATGTTTTCTTATCACACAGAATTCTAGCCAGTTTTACAAGTACTTTCAATCAATATTAGCTATTTCACTATTGAATAGGTATTTCACTATTGTCAGTTAGTTACAAAAATAAAGGCATTAATTATTATTTCACAACTGCAATCATTATTTCATTAATTTAATTTGTATTTTAATTTCAATATCATTACTATTAATATATTAATACAAAATAATAAGTTGTTATATTCATTACTATTATTATTGTCATTATTTTTTTTTTCACTACTACAATTACTTCTGCAGAAGTTAATGTTATAATACGCAGTGCATAATATTTTGCAAAGCCTAAACTATAATATATATTTATTACACTAAGATATACAATCCACACAGGGATTAGAGTATTAACTATAAAAGGCTGACAAATTATACTGTATCAAAAGCAGTTAAAAAGAGATTACAAACTGTACTCCATCAAGATAATTTACAAAAGCCAATAATAACAAAATACAATAACTATATAGTTATTTATAAAACATCCCAGGATAAAGAGCCTGGGATAAATCCAACCCACAACCACTGAAATTATTCTTATTTTCTTCTTAACTTTAATAAACATCACCCCTTTTCATGCTGCTTTATCAGCAGTGCAATCAGTGTTATCTCCTTATAAATTATCCTACAAGTGCCAGAATACAGAATTACATCCTCAGGATTATTACATTCCCTAGCCTGGCAAAGATTTTATAATTCATGGGAAGGAATTTTAAAGTCTTGACAAAAGTGGTTACAGGAGCACAAAACCAGCAGAACTCCACTAATCATAACATGAGGCAGGAATGGAAATAAAGGGAAAATAAAAAACACAGAGGGGAAAAGTGGAGCTCAGCAATAATCAGCTTTTCAGCAGCTCTTTTTTAATCAACACACATCCACACCTCAGTGAAGAAAGAGATTTATAGAGACATTTAAAATGTCCTGGCCAGAAAAAGGAGGCACAGACTTGAAGCAGTAATTGTTTATCCTCAGCTCCTACCTTGTCTTTCAGAACAGTCTGATATTCTTTAAAATAAATCTATTTTCAAAGCAGCTGTTCTTATCTACATATTGGAAAATAAGAGCTATTTATTTAAAACTGAAAATCCCAGAATGGTTTGGGTTGGGAGGGACCATAAAGCCCATCCTGNCTCCCTCAGGGATTCTGCAGCCCCTTCCAGCTCCCTCAGGGATTCTGCAGCCCCTTCCAAACTCCCTCAGGGATTCTGCAGCCCCTTCCAGCTCCCTCAGGGATTTTCCAGCCCCTCAGGGATTCTCCAGCCCCTCCAGGTCCTTTCTGAAGTGATGAATTTGATCTGATCTCCTGAAAGAACACCAATTGCCCTTTGATCCCTGCCCTAATTGAGATGACTCTCACTTCCTTGAAAAAGATAAAAAAGGCAGAGTTTCTGCCCTGCTCCTCACAGGAGAGCTCTGGGTGCTCTGCAGGACACACATGCTGCCTTGGAAACCAGCTCACAATGGCAACACCTCAAAAAAGTCCCTGGATCAGGGCAGCCCCAATAAAACAATCCTGTGGTAAGAACAAAATCATCCCACCAAGAAAAAAACACCTCACCCAACTTTCAAACACACAGGAGCACTTACACAGTGACAGAAGCAAACAATTCCATTTCAGAGCACGAATTAAAGTCCATCTCTGGCAGTTCTGGTAAGGTTAAATAACAAAAAGAAGTGCTCATACCTGAGCATGTGAGGAGTTTTCCCAGAAGACCAGGTTATATTTAAAAGTCAGGTCATTGATCCACATTTTTTTCCTCTGATTTGCTTCTGGAGGAGAAACCATAACTTTTACAACTCCATTTGTGGACTGCAATTCCAGTCCTGGAGGACCAATCTGAGCTGCAAATACGGAAAGAAAAAAGAAGCATTAAACATCTCTACTTTGAGAAAATACACCCCAAATGTGGTTTCAATAATAAACCTAAAATACCTGCCTAAGCTATCTTATTTTTAATTCTTTTGAATAATCACCTACAGGATCTTAAGTTTCCATTGACTCAGGCATTTTCCAAAAGAAATTTAACCTAACAACCAACTACCATCACCAGCTTCTAAAAGCAGTTAAAATTAAATATTACCAGCAAATGTTTTCCAAAAAATCAGTATAAATTATTCTAAAACCTGCAAGGCAGGGGATTTAGCTCAGTCCAATAAATTCAACTTCAGAGAAAGGATTCAGTACCACTGGAACTGCTGAAGAACCAAACTTCCCAAAAATGGGGTTCTTGGGGCAATCTGGTCTATGGAAGGTGTCCCTGCCCATGGCAGGGGATGGGATGGGTTTTAAGGTCTCTCCCAATCCAGACCAGTCTGGGATTCTACAAAAATCTACTGTCAAAAACGACTTTTCCAATAAATAATCTGGGAAAACACACAGTGACAGGAGATTCAGCCAGGAAACCAGCACCACCTGGAACAGTTTTCCCTTTCCAGAAAAGAGAGAATTGCAGCATTCCATGACCTGCAGATGCCTGATCTCATGTTCCTGTTGGGAAACTCCCCCTGTCCTGCTGTTACCAGCANTATGGGACACGAGGTGCTACCTTGTGTTTTCTCCCCTATTTGGGTCTGCCCAGAAGAAACCCAAGCTGCTGACAACTGAAACCTCCACCACTTGTATTTTTGCTCACTTTTACTCATCTAATTTCTCCACATTCAAAAAGGCACTAAGCAATTCAAGCTTCCCAGCTTTAAAAATGTCCCTCAGCATTCAGGAGTCCCTTCCATCAGGAGTTTAACACCCCCAAAAGCAGCCCAGTCCCTGAAATCCCAGGCTCAGGTGTACCATGGAATTCTTTAACATCAATGAGCCATTCATGCTCCCATTAACACACGAAGCCACCAAATATTTCATTTTAACCCCTGGGGAACACCTGCAGAAGGCAACAAATGGGATTTCAGCTTGGCAGGGTGGCATGGCTGAACTCACAGCAGGTACTGCACGTTGTAGGTCACATCCTGACTTTGCTGGCTGCTCCAGAGCAGGTGGAATTGCATGTTCAGAGCCAGGACACTCAGGTTGGTGGCACACAGGAGGTCGTTCACTGCTCAGGGGAAAAGGGAACCCAAAGTTACCAAAAAACTTCATGGGAATGGGCATTTCTCATGTCAATCATGAAAACCTAAAGATTATTCACTATACAGATTGCAAGTCACAGGGTGTGATATGCACAGTATCCTATCAAGGATTTAATTAAAAAAATCAGTTAAAATCAATTCAGAAAAAAATCAAAGTACACAAATATTGAGAGGAGCAAAAATAAACTGGTTTGGGAATAACATGAGGAGAAAAATATATAAAATACAAATCAGAATTTATTGTACACTGTGATTTTTTGTTTTAAGATTTCATTAAAATATAAATGTAACAATTACTTAATATTTTATTAAAATAATAAAAACTTGCATGTATCAGTTATTGTAATATTTTATTAAGATACACATGTATTATTTTAAAAATACATATGTATTCTCTTAACATTTTTAAAATACACAGGTGTGTATTAATTAATGCTTTTGTGTATAAAATAATTTTCATTTGCCATCAATTACTTACATTTTGATGTACCATCAACTCATTATGATGTACCACCCCTGTCCAATCTAATATTTGACTTTCTGCAGTTATTTTTTTTCCTAAAACAAACATCTAAAAGCAACTGCACAGCACAGAAAGAATTTAATTTTACATAACAAGGTGGCAAACTGCCCCCTCAAAGCCTTTCCTCAGCAGCTGTAACAATCAATTCACCAAGGATTACATAAAACCAGCATTTTTTAAAGCTGAAGTCAACTTTCTGTGCATTCACTGAGTGCCAAGTATCCCAGAGACTTTTGGGGTTTTTTGCCTCCTGATTCAGTCACTGATTAAAAAGAAGAGTTTTCCAAAGCACACAAAGAAGTTTTTGTTCCAAATTAATGTCCAAGTTTGCCTCATGGCAAAAACATTCTTGTACTATTAAAACTCTACGCTCGACGTATTTTAAGTTGATAGAGAAGGGCAAATATATAATATATATATATCATTTTTATACCCAACTGAGGAGGAATTTGGCCCCTCTGCCTATTCCTGCAGCTTCAGAAGCCCTGGCTGTTTAACAGAAGCCACCACTGGCAGGGAAGTTGATGTCCTGGGTACCTTTCTGGGTGGTTTTCACACAGCTGGTGGGGCTGAACAGGCCTTGCTTGCCCTCGCTGGGGAGATTTGCTTGGACTTTGAAGCAATAGGTGCTGTCTGGGGCAAGGTCATCAATGGTGTCCACAGGGAAAATCCTTCTGTTCTGGGGCTGGATGAACAAACACAAAGAGCCTGTGAGGGGAACTGTGCTTCCCCAGGAATATTTCAAATGATCATTTTGCAAGGTTTCAGCCCATTTGTGTCATACCCCTCCTAAAAATGTGGAATAGAGAAGTAGGAGGGTGTTTGAGCTGCAGAAATCCTAAAGGGAAAGTTTGCAGCTCAGCCAGTGACAGACAGGAACATTTTGGGCTCCTTTGCCATGGAAGTGGGGAGGGATTGGGCATGACCAGGAGCTCACCCCACAGACACCCCAGAATGCAGCAGGACATTCCCACCCTGATCACCCAAACACTGCCCCCTCCTCTGCCTTTGGCTGTCACTGAACACACACAATTGTACTTCTGGGCCTTTTGCTCCTTTGGGGAGTGATCCCCAAATCCCAGGGGTGGGAGGAGCCCCCCAGGATCACCCAGTGCCAGCCCAGCCCCAGCAGCATCACCCAAACCCTGTCCCCAAGGCCACATCCAGACTGCTCTGGGACAATGCCAGGGACTCCAAACCTCCCTGGGCAGCTCAGCCCAAGGCCTGACCACTCTGAGAGAGGAATTTTATTCTGATTTCAATCTGAACCTCCCCTGGTGCACCTTGAGGCCATTTCCTCTTGTCCTTTCCTCATTCCTGTGTTTCCCTCTGGCTGTGCCCTCCTGGCAGGGCCTTGTGCAGAGCCACGAGGGCCCCTGAGCCTCCTTTGCTCCAGCCCCAGCCCCTTCCAGC